ACTTATGCCTCTAATTTTCTAATGAAATATGGAAGATTTTCGTTACTGTGTGTCCCATGTTTCATTTTGATCATGAAAATGTCTTCAACTGGGGGTGCTACAAATCCTCCTCCACATGAATCTCTATCTGCTATGTTGTTGGCATGGTCCTTTTTCTTTGCTGTGTTCTTCCTTCTAAAATGCAATGGCTTGTTGCCAAGTGACCTGTCTATCATAGAGTGGCCATACCCATGCTCTACCCACCATAGATAGCCTTGGGAGCAAGGTGTGAAGAAGACATCAGGAAGATTACCAAAATCCAACTGCTACATCATAACATGTTAGAGAAACTAATTACTTCTGAAACTAGTGGTGCAGTTGTTCTACAACAAATCAGCATATGAATCTATGGTAAATCACCAAGAAGGATCCCAGTGTCTGTTGGCTCTATTCTTTAGTACTTTCAATAGCAAAAATTATCTTGCTTCAAATCTCAGAAGACTTAAATCAAATCTTTGATTTAGATGTCATACAAAGGTTTCTATTTTACATATATATGGTATAACTGGATCAGATAGTGGTTTTATTCCTAGTTTTTTGAGGAATTTCCATTCTGATTCCCAGAGGGGTTAAACTAATTTGCAGTGCCACCAGAAATGTATGTGCGTTCCCTTTTCCCCACATCCTCATCAATATTTATCGTTACTTGTATTCTTGATAATCGCCATTCTGACTGGCACTGTAAATCATGTTTTCTCTCTATGTACAAGCACAAGAAAATGTAAAATGTTTTATAAATGCACATTTATGACTTAATTTTGCTATTCATGTTAACATAGTTGTGCATCAATTATCTATCATTTTAAAAACTTTGACTAGAATGGTTTTAGATCATTTTCATTTGTGAAAAAAAAGTAGAGTTCTCAATTATTTTTCATCCCATCTATTCCATGATCTTTCAGTGAAACCAGAATGCTGATGTAACATCCAAATATTATTTGCTCATCAGCTATTTTTAGATGAAAAATGTAATATGCATCCATAAACTATTGGATCAATGACTGAGGTAGCTCTGCTGATATCAGTTGAGCTGCTCTGGCTTGAGAAGGAACTCAATTGCTCAGCTCACCTTCAGTCTCTCTCTTTCTTGTATCTTCTCTGGACTATTTACTTACTTATATTAGTTTATAGCAGAAGTTACAATAGGTGTTGCCATTAATTAAATACTGCATGTCACAAATTCAATCTTCAATGGTAACAATAAATGGGTCTGAACAAATAACATGGATAAGTAAAAAAATAAAGAAGGGAGAATGTCATCTCCCTCTTATGGAAATAGAAAGTTGTATGTCATCAGTCAGGAGTACTGTTAGGAGTGAAGAATTTGGCTCAGAATTTCCAAATTGATGAAAATTAGTACAACTCTGAACATATTCTTGCTTCATAGTGCCCTATAGCTTTACTGTGGATAAAATATAACCCATGAATGTAGCTTGATTTCCTGAAGCTTTCATATTATATATGAATTGCCTTCACTTATTGAGATTAAATATAGAAACTCAACTTGTCGTTGTGTCTTGTCCACCATGTACCAGTAGAGAATAGGGAACATATCCATTCCTCATAGGTTCATTCTAACCTTTTAGGAGATACTTGTTTTGCCCAAGATTTCCTTTTTCTACCAAATAAAACTTGAAAAATTCTTACTATAACACTATCCCATGATACATGTCTTATACAACTTACCATTTACATATATTCAACACTTATTAAGTATTGTAATATTTTAAAAAATATACTTTAATTTTTAAATTGTCAATCATTGATTATAGTTTATTTGCCAGTCTATTATCCTAGAAAATGTCTAGGTGAATGTACATAGTTTAATAAAGATCTCTGAAATTTTTGCTTCTAATTGTGTACAATTTTACCTATTACTAAAATAGTGTCATTTCTCAAAACACATGTATTTAACACAGTGATCAGATCCATGCATTTAAAGTATTTGCCATGTCAAACAGTTATATAACATTTATCTGTGCATTGTTATGTATTTTATCTGTACGATATCATGTCTTCTGACAATGATACATTTATCTACTTATATAATCTTCTCCTTATTATTTATTTAAAAGTATATCTGTATTGTCAACTATACATTTTAAAATTCATAGTAAAATAATTGATCAAATATGAAAAAATGAGGATAATACCTGATTATAATTTGAAAATTATTTGATGTTTCTGTACTTGTCATGTGAATATTCTTTATCAAAATGAGGCACTTCTTATTTTGTTTTGGCTGAAGAAATTTCCACATGGATCACTATTACATTTTAAAACAAGAGTTTCTGAAAATATGTCTTTACATTTTACATTTATTTGGGTTTACGGTTGTTTATCATTAATTGATTGCTAATTATTGCTGTCATGAAAATTTTATTGAAAATCCAAGAAGGCATGGACCAAGTGGTGTTGAGACTGAGTGACCTGGATTTATGATCCAAGTCTGCTTTCATATTTTCCTCTATTACAGTCCTTTTCCCTGAGGGCAAATTGGCACTTTAAACAAATAATATATTTTCTTCCTTTTGAAAACTGTTTTCTATTTTTCTAATCTTTTTGTCAGTAAGACTGGGTACATTGAATTTTCTTATAATTTAAGCTTTGCTTCTTGGATCATATTCCTTCTTAAAAAATATTTTTGAGTAACCTATTATTCATTTATTTTTTTCTTCTTTTTTTTTCTGTATTTGTTGTGGGAATGAAAATGACAATGGTAGAACCAAGTCCATTCTCTCATTGGTTGCAGGGGCTCTACCACTGAGCTACACTGAGGTTTTTATTTTTTATTTTGAGACAGCATCTCCCTAAATTGCCAACCCTTGAATCCAACAGGCAATCCTCTCGTCTCTGCATCCAGAGTTGGTTATTCAGATGGGAGCCACCTCATTAAGCAACATCTTTCTTTTAAACAAATTTTGCCTTTGATTATACAGGATCTCATTGAGATATTTCTATATTTTAAGCCAAGCAGAGGACATGTAATCCATAGTTAACATATGTACTTCCTAACTGCTTTTATGATAAAAATTCTACTTTTTTATTGATACAGACAGTGACTAGGTTTCTGAATCTAAAAGCAATCTCATAGTTTATAAAAATGATAAATTAAAATCATAAAAAAACCACATATTGGATGATGAAAATAAGTTAACACCATATGCACAGATTATCTAACCAAAAACCTGCATATCATTCTGGAAAAAGAATGTGCCATTGAAACTTTTTTATATAAGCAAAATTTCAAACATGTAACTTGTACAATTGTCGTTGGGCCCACGTAGATTCCAGCTACATTTATCCTTTTAGTTTTGCTTTATAGACTATAGCAAACAAATTTTTAAATAGAAAGAAAAGGAAAAATTAAAAAAGCAGTCGTTTCTAAGCATCAGATTTAAAGTAATGCTTTAAAACTTTAAAAGTATTCTCATTGATATAATCTTTTCCATGGCTTCAGTTGACATACCAGACCAAATGTGTTGGTTTTGTTCAGGCATTCAAGCATCTCAACCAAACATTTCATATTTGCTAGCCATAGTTTTTCAAAAATTCTTACTTATAAAGGCAAACATTAATTTGATGCTTAATTTTAGAATACCTGTTCTGGATGATCCAAATTACCTGTAGCAGATAATTCAATTTGTAGAATTGATATTTTTACATTTTATTTTCAAATGCTTATACGTATGTGTACTTCTCAAAGTTTTATGGTCAGCACCCATTCTCATGGTTTTAACGGGTCAGTCTTTGGAACCACTGTTTTTTTTTTAACTGCTTTTTATTCTAGGAAATGTGTGAATTACATTAGCTATATTTGAAATATCAACACTATAACTTTAGGGGTATGATGAGAAAGAGAAGAAGCTGCAGTTTTGCAGTACAATCTTGACACCAAACAGATCTCAATTCTCTGATTCTCCAGTGAAGGCATATCAGGATCATATTGGGTCTATAAAGTGGAGTATAAAAAAAGCGGTATAATACATTGTTTGGTATGTTTCCCTGTAAATATTGTATAAATATTCGACAAGGAGAGGAGGAACAACACATGAACTGTTACTGTATTGAGATTAAAAGAGAAAATATGGCTAAGTTTTATTGCTGTTTTTCCCTTTAGTTTTTAGTATTACAATCTATATAGAGAGGTAAGTTGCTTTA